GTCACTGTCACGGTATGTCTAGTATATGTATTACATAGTCACTGTCACGGTATGTCTAGTATATGTATTACATAGTCACTGTCACGGTATGTCTAGTATATGTATTACATAGTCACTGTCACGGTATGTCTAGTATATGTATTACATAGTCACTGTCACGGTATGTCTAGTATATGTATTACATAGTCACTGTCACGGTATGTCTAGTATATGTATTACATAGTCACTGTCACGGTATGTCTAGTATATGTATTACATAGTCACTGTCACGGTATGTCTAGTATATGTATTACATAGTCACTGTCACGGTATGTCTAGTATATGTATTACATAGTCACTGTCACGGTATGTCTAGTATATGTATTACATAGTCACTGTCACGGTATGTCTAGTATATGTATTACATAGTCACTGTCACGGTATGTCTAGTATATGTATTACATAGTCACTGTCACGGTATGTCTAGTATATGTATTACATAGTCACTGTCACGGTATGTCTAGTATATGTATTACATAGTCACTGTCACGGTATGTCTAGTATATGTATTACATAGTCACTGTCACGGTATGTCTAGTATATGTATTACATAGTCACTGTCACGGTATGTCTAGTATATGTATTACATAGTCACTGTCAAGGTATGTCTAGTATATGTATTACATAGTAACTGTCACGGTATGTCTAGTATATGTATTATATAGTCACTGTCACGGTATGTCTAGTATATGTATTATATAGTCACTGTCACGGTGTGTCTAGTATATGTATTACATAGTAACTGTCACGGTGTGTCTAGTATATGTATTACATAGTCACTGTCACGGTATGTCTAGTATATGTATTACATAGTAACTGTCACGGTATGTCTAGTATATGTATTACATAGTAACTCCTGTGGTATTCCAATAGTACAATGTATATGTATTACACAGTAACAGTCACGGTAAATGTAATATGTGTTTTACACATTAACCGTTCCGGGTTGTCCTGTAAAACGGTGTGATCTTCGTTTTCACAGCATGTCCTATTAAATAGTTGCATAACTATTACTGCAGTGATCTATCAATCATTTACGTTTTCCATATATGCTTATGAAGAAACATTGCATAGTCATGTGTTGTCAGGTTAATATATGGGAATAGATAACGTTTCCACATTTGTATCACTGTCACTGTTAGATGTAAAACCATTACCAAACTAATCAAACGTTTCGGAAGCAAGTAGACATTCTACCCGAAAACTGTCGTTTGAGTTGAATTATTATAAATATTGGATTATGAAAATGAATTTAATGTACGTGCGGTTGCAAAACATTTATAAGTGACAAACTTGAAATATTTTTGAATGTCCAAATAAGTGTTTGTTATAATAGCAGGATCCTTTAAAAAAAAACCTGCTTGCTGTACTTCTGGAATGGTAGATAATTATATAATTGCAGGTTGAACTTATCAACGGATATCACTATAAATCATTACTAATAATAATTCTAAAAACCAGATTACGATAAACAAAAGTGCTTGTACGTGTTGTTAATGTCCTTGTCCAATACCTATTAATATATCTAAACATGTTATAGTTAAAATAGACACTGGTACCCCGTTAAACATTATACTTTTGGTTTTTGTTTTGTTTGTTTTGTTTGTTTGTTTAAAGAATGGGATCTCCACAACCAGAGTAATGAGGATACACTGTCCTCGGTTACATTAAAATAGAGCTTTGTTAACGTATCACTTCATTGAAAAGGTATAACTATGGCACACTAGCATGAAACTCCGTCCGGAAAGATTATTCTGAAACATGAACAATGCAGGTACTGTCGACAGAAATCAGTTGGTTTGTTTTGGTTTGGTTTGGTTTGGTATTGTTTAACGTCCTACCAACAGCTATGATCATTTAAGGACGGCCTCCCCTGTGTGCAAGATGCATGCGTGGAGTGTATGCGTGTGTGTTTTGGGAGGCTGCGATACTTTCATGTTTGTCTCCATGTGATAGCACGAAACTGATGACGGCTTTATAGTGATACCTCACTGAAACATATTGCCGAAGACATCCATCAGGACACTCTACCCGGTCACATTATATTGACAACGGGCGAACCAGTCGTCCCACTCCTTAATGGTCGAGCGTTAAGCAGGATAGAAACTGCCATTTTTACAGACTCTAGTATGTCTCAGCCAGGGGAAAGAACCCAAACCTTTCCTCACAGGGGCGAAAGCTCAACTAAAGGCCAAAAGTGAGGCATTGTCAAGGGAGACATTAGGAAGAAAAAAGTTGTTTAGAACAAAGAGAAAAGATCAGATCCCAAATTTAATCGCCTCTTACGATTATGCAATGGGGTAACAGGTACAATTTTTACGCTCTACCTGCATGAACAAAATCACTTGGTAAGGTGACAATGCTGCGCTAGCTGTGGATAACGTTACTTCATGCTTTGAACTACCTAAACGTATGCCCAACCGTTTGCAAATTAGTTTGGTAGTTTTTTGGCAAATGCATCTAATTCGAAACATAAAAGTGCTTAAGTTTCAAATCTTTGTGTTGCCCCGCAACAGATTGTGGATAAACATTGAAAAAATAAAAACTGAGCTGAATAAGATACATGTACATTTTTGGAAAATAAAGGTAATTAAAACCTTGATAAAACACAGGATCAAAGGCCATATTACATTTCGGTTAGGTTACAAAGTGTAACTATGCCTGTATTAATTCTAAACGAACCATAAGACCACTTTTTATGTACATAGAGGATGCCAAACACAAAAAAAGAACAAACAAATTAAAAGCGTGGATAGTTTTCATCGGGGTTTAACAATATATGCGTGCGTGCTGGGTTGAATGAAATGTTATATCATTAACGAGATGATCGTGTCTTAGAAAGTGATCAATGATGATCAAATATATTTTTTTTAAAAATCTGCGTCTTCAAGTCGGTAAATACTTACTTAAAAAAATCCAGAGTTTCCAAAGATTAGAAGAAGTGAACTTGTATAGAGACCATTGAGTGATTTTACATGAGATTTAATGGTGCCATGTTATTTAAGCGAGGTTTTGCCGACCGAAGTTTGAACAATGTGTAGTTTTAATACACATCTTTACCTTTCTAATGCCTGTGTTGAAATACAAATTAATTCATCAATACGAATTAAATTACAAACACCAGGTGCCAAGGACAATCGAAACGTATATGATGTATTTTTGATATGCATAACTGTGCGTCGAAATTGTCAGGTCATTTCACTTTCACATCAACGAATGCATTGAACAAGAAAAATAAAATAAAATAAATATACTAGTTCTATAATACCAATACAAGAGCACAGCTGATTAATACGCTACTGCCACTTCCAAGCCCCGTTTTGTAATGGGAAGAGACGTAGTCTTGTTGAACAAACACAAAGCTACGTAACCAATGGTAATGAAACGTCACAATTACAACAGCTATATCTGCTTTTTTAATCTTTGACAGGTGAAAAGTTATTATAGAAAAGTTTAGACGTGATTTATGTTCAGCATGGATAATACTGTAGTGGTATACGAATTTAAAAAATAAATTGATAGATGTTATTTTGACAAGGGAAATGATGTCAGACTCTCTTTTTGAATTACCAAAACGTCATAATTATTAACTCTTTTTTCAGCAGAGATTTAAATGTAATTAACTATACAAACAGTGAATCCTTTACCGTTAGATGATTAGTTTAAAATGCTATTATTTACTTTTAATAAGTAGTTTCAATATACCAATAATACAAGATGTGTCGTTGATTTATTAAGTTAATTGGGCTGTGTTCTTTGGATCTGATTCTACAACCGTCAGCTACGTTTAATTTAAAATACATAGAATAGGGGAAAGTTTGGATGAGCTTTTCCTGTACATTATTGCTCGACTCTGTGCTTTCCTATGATGACCCTGTTCACAAAGTTAAGTTGTACAATTTCTTTTGCCATAGAATTATTTTCTAAAGCCATACTGTAGTAAGGTAATTAAGTAATTTCGTAAGAATGGCGTTAGAAGAAAAAAGTGACAAGCTGGGTATCCAGAAACATTCCCAGACAGGTGTATCAACCCTGGTACAGTTCATGGCTCAGTAATGAAGGCATCGACGACGTATTGGAAGTAATTTTAAAGATAAATGTATTACATATGTATTTTAAATAAAAACTAATATACAAAAGTATCTAATTTATTTATGAAATCTAAACAACAATGGCGACCATTTAGTCGTTAGAGTGTGTTTTGGTTTGATTTCAATCTCGTTTGTTATTAATACAGGTACAAATAACTCGCTGCCACTAGGTTTTGCTTCGTGTATGTCTTGGTAGGTCTTGTTAAACGTACACGATCACAGTTACTAAATATCACGTACACTGTGATCAGATCAACAAACAACCATGCAGAAATGTGCAGAAAAAGTACGCCTGCTGCATCACAACGTCACGTGGTACGAGATGTGGGCAGCACATTTTATCTGTGTTCTCTACATAAGGGACAATAAAGAGACAGTTTTACCGGCTGTATTAACGGCAAACACTTGGAATTTTATCGTTTAAGCTTTTATTTTTTGAGTTGATGCCTACCGACCACTGACTGGATTTCTACCTTGTGTTCACGTAAACATTAACTCTCTTCACACTGATGAGCTGTACAGATTGAATAACATATGCAATAATAATATGATTTATGGGACGTGAATGCCGTTTATGATATTTATGATAAACAATCATAATATTAAGTTTCACCAAATGTATCAAGCATCCGTACCTAGAGATGACAAACCTAATAATTTACCCGGCGTAATGAGCTAATCTACTTTATTGTATTTCGACAGGAAATGTAATATGATCAATCGGTAATCAGTAGGACTACCCTATCTAGTTACTGTACTGGACCTTAGATGGACATTGATAATAACAATACAAGGTCAAGTTTTTCTCACCCTGCCAATCAAACGCATGGTCTTCTGCCGACCTCTTTCTCACACATACAAGCTTCTTACCTTTCTTTTAGACCGTCGAGGCATCCTGGACCCCAAAAAACGAGAGGTGGATGTCAGTTATTCACTTAATCCTCCAGTTAAATTAGTCCAATTAATCCGAAAATGTAACAGAGGTTTTCTACACTACTCAACGACGGAGCTTGGTTACTCTGGCCTACTGCTCTGTAGCGGGTATATATACCTACCCTGCATGGGCATTGACGGCGGTAGTTCACCCGTGAACCGTCGAATTGTATTCTCTTTACCTAAAACAGGACACTTTTTAAATCGCTACCACCCTCTAAGATGTATCGCTGGCGTTTAAGACGTATTGACACTAAAGCTTGCTGATAACGACTTGTAACATTGCTGCAACGGTAATGTTCAATGACATCAAGTCTGTAACGCTGATTTAAAACAATTCCAGATTAACGTCAGGCTAATTCTAAATAATAAAATCAATATACTTAATGATGGAACAATATACTCAATGATAAACAGTATACTTAATGATAGAATAGTGTATTTAATGTGGGAACAATATACTGAGTGATAGAACAATATACTTAATGATAGAATAATATACTGAATGATAGAACACTATACTGAATGATAGAACAATATACTGAATGATGGAACAATATACTGAATGATAAAACAATATACTGACTGATAGAACAATATACTAAATGATAGAACAATATATTTAATGATAGAATAATACACTGTATAATAGAACAATATACTGAATGATAGAACACTATACTGAATGATAGAACAATATACTGAATGATAGAACACTAAACTGAATGATAGAACACTATACTGAATGATGGAACAATATACTGAATGATAAAACAATAAACTGAATGATAGAACACTATACTGAATGATAGAAAACTATACTAAATGAAAGAACAATATACTGAATGATAGAACAATATCCTGAATGATAGAACAATATACTTAATGATAGAACACTATACTGAATGATAGAACAATATACTGAATGATAGAAAAATATACTGAATGATAGAACATAGAACAATATACTGAATGATGGAACAATATACTTAATGATAGAACACTATACTGAAGGATAGATCAATATACTGAATGATAGAACAATATACTGAATGATGGAACAATATACTGAAGGATAGAACAATATACTGAAGGATAGAACAATATACTGAATGATAGAACGATATACTGAATGATAGAACAATATACTGAATGATAGAACGATATACTGAATGAAAGAACAATATACTGAATGATAGAACAATATCCTGAATGATAGAACAATATACTTAATGATAGAATAATATACTGAATGATAGAACACTAAACTGAATGATAGAACACTATACTGAATGATAGAACACTATACTGAATGATGGAACAATATATACTGAATGATAGAACACTATACTGAATGATGGAACAATATACTGAACGATAGAACAATATACTGAATGATAGAACAATATACTTAATGATGGAACAATATACTGAATGATAAAACAATAAACTGAATGATAGAACACTATACTGAATGATAGAACACTATACTAAATGAAAGCACAATATACTGAATGATAGAACAATATACTGAAGGATAGAACAATATACTGAAGGATAGAACAATATACTGAATGATGGAACAATATACTGAATGATAAAACAATATACTGAATGATAGAACAATATACTTAATGATGGAACAATATACTGAATGATAAAACAATATACTGAATGATAGAACAATATACTTAATGATAGAATACTATACTGAATGATAGAACAATATACTGAATGAAAGAACTATATACTGAATGATAGAACAATATACTGAATGATAGAACATAGAACAATATACTGAATGATGGAACAATATACTTAATGATAGAACACTATACTGAATGATAGAACAATATACTGAATGATAGAACACTAAACTGAATGATAGAACAATATACTTAATGATAGAATAATATACTGAATAATAGAACACTATACTGAATGATAGAACACTAAACTGAATGATAGAACACTATACTGAATGATGGAACAATATACTGAATGATGGAACATAGAACAATATACTGAATGATAGAACAATATACTAAATGAAAGAACAATATACTGAATGATAGAACAATATCCTGAATGATAGAACAATATACTTAATGATAGAATAATATACTGAATAATAGAACACTATACTGAATGATAGAACACTAAACTGAATGATAGAACACTATACTGAATGATGGAACACTATACTGAATGATAAAACAATAAACTGAATGATAGAACACTATACTGAATGATAGAACAATATACTGAATGATAGAATACTATACTGAATGATAGAACAATATACTGAATGAAAGAACTATATACTGAATGATAGAACAATATACTGAATGATAGAACATTATACTGAAGGATAGAACAATATACTGAATGATGGAACACTATACTGAATGATAAAACAATAAACTGAATGATAGAACACTATACTGAATGATGGAACACTATACTGAATGATAAAACAATAAACTGAATGATAGAACACTATACTGAATGATAGAACACTATACTGAATGATGGAACAATATACTGAACGATAGAACAATATACTGAATGATAGAACAATATCCTGAATGATAGAACAATATACTTAATGATAGAACACTATACTGAAGGATAGAACAATATACTGAATGATAGAACGATATACTGAATGATAGAACAATATACTGAATGATAGAAAAATATACTGAATGATAGAACATAGAACAATATACTGAATGATGGAACAATATACTGAATGATAAAACAATATACTGAATGATAGAACATAGAACAATATACTGAATGATGGAACAATATACTTAATGATAGAACACTATACTGAAGGATAGAACAATATACTGAATGATAGAACGATATACTGAATGATAGAACAATATACTGAATGATAGAATACTATACTGAATGATAGAACAATATACTGAATGATAGAACACTAAACTGAATGATAGAACAATATACTTAATGATAGAATAATATACTGAATGATAGAACACTAAACTGAATGATAGAACACTATACTGAATGATGGAACAATATACTGAATGATAAAACAATAAACTGAATGATAGAACACTATACTGAATGATGGAACAATATACTGAAGGATAGAACAATATCCTGAATGATAGAACAATATACTGGATGATAGAACAATATACTGAATGATGGAACAATATACTTAATGATACAACACTAAACTGAATGATAGAACAATATACTTAATAATAGAATAATATACTGAATAATAGAACACTATACTGAATGATAGAACAATATCCTGAATGATAGAACAATATACTTAATGTTAGAATAATATACTGAATAATAGAACACTATGCTGAATGATAGAACACTATACTGAATGATAGAACAATATACTGAATGAAAGAACAATATACTTAATGATAGAACACTATACTGAAGGATAGAACAATATACTGAATGATAGAACAATATACTGAATGATAGAACAATATACTGAATGATAGAACAATATACTGAATGATGGAACAATATACTTAATGATAGAAAACTATACTGAAGGATAGAACAATATACTGAATTATAGAACACTATACTGAATGATGGAACAATATACTGAATGATAGAACAATATACTGAAGGATAGAACAATATACTGAATGATGGAACACTATACTGAATGATAGAACAATACTATGTTACAGTGTATACACACACATGCACGTAACCAGGGGTAAAACAAAGGTAACATCGTATGGTTTTACATTTACACGACATTTCTGCAATGCCAGATACAAATGTATGTGCCTAGTGACTACTGTCGTTATAGTCTTTGTAGGCTCCCGTCAAGCATTGTACAGATACCAAATATATAAAACAGCGGTAATTACATTTCGATCCCTCTGCTAAGGATCATTAATATAACTTTATTTATTTTACAAAATCAGAAAACAAGATTTTACTACAGATACAAATCGCTCGTGTTGGCCAGGATGTAAGTCAGGGGGTGGATGTCTTGCCTTGGGAGGGACCTGGAATACCTAGATGAATTCCACATGATCGGGTAGCTGACCCCATACCGTTACACATCCGACGAGGGGATCGGACGACAGAACGCTCATTAGCGTCTTTTTGCGGCGAAGCAAGTCACATTAATGACTGTTCTTTCCCAATGGCAACATGAAGGCCACCAAGTGACCATTACCATTCTGTCATCTGTGTTAAACACTATATAAGTTATATCAGTTAGCCTTAAAAAGAGTAAAAGGAGTACAGAAGAAGGCAGAAAGCTGTGTGCTTTCCCCTTATTTTCTAATTCGTTTTTAATCGACAGGAGTTGTGGTGGTTTTCTCATGCACCTTTCGGATTCCAATAATGCTGCCAACAACTGTATCCTGCACCGCTGTTTTTTCCCAATATAACTGTTTTAAAACATTTTTGAAAAGAAAAAGGGTCAGGTGAGATAAGTCAAGAGAAGCTACCCACTTGTCATAATGAAAACCAGGGGATGTAACTGCAAATAAGAAACACTCATAGGGAATTCTGCAGTGCTTTGTCGCCAGCAAGGGGATAGGAATCCTTAATACAGATGCAACGAAAAATATATTTTGAGGTATCCCCTGAATTCGCTAGTCTCAATGCCTGTCTCCATTCTAGGTCGGCCTCAAAATGAGAAATGTCTATTACACAGCTCTCGAAAACGACGTTTTCCAAAGTATTAAGCGTTGGTAGCACAGTTCAGTAATGTTCACCTCGTATATAAATAAACATGTTTGTTAAGAAAAAAAAAAAAAATAGAAAACAAAACCAGTATAATCACAGACCATGAAAGCCTACTCAACGTTATTCAACAACAAACTTCGCAGTCTGCACATTGACTTTTCAAAAAGCCTACTAAAATGTCTTAAGATAATACGGTTGACCTACATTTCAAATCCCTCATAAGTCAATTTTAAAAACCCAAATTGGTTATGTAAAATAAGATATGTAAATGTATGAACTTATACTTTATTTATTTAATGGTACACATCAATGTTATCTTAGCAATACTAGGACATTTAGGCTGATGTCAATCTCTTTTGCAACCCCTGAGTGAATGCTATTACATGACGTCTTTTCTCAAGTTCATATATACCTAGGTCATGCAGAGCTTAATTTCTCTTTTATCTGTTATCAGCTGTGGAAAGGCATACCGACTT